ATTTCTTTAAAATAATTTACTAGGGCTGAGGAATAGCTCAGTAGCACAGCGTCTGCTTGGCAAATGCAAGGTCCTGTGTTCAATTCCCAGTACCAAAAAAAAAAAAAAAAAAAAAAGATAATCTGTTTAAAGCAAAAATAATATATTGGAAAGTAGATGTGGTAGCACATGGCAGTAATTCCAGCTCAAGCCTGAGACGGGAGGATCGCCGTAAGTTCAAGCTCAGCCCACTGCAATACAAGACCCTGTCTCAAAAAACAGACAATATAATAGTATGTTGGGTTCATGACAGGTCATGAGGGAGGAGAAAATGGAAATCCAATGTTATCAGTGTAGATTGTATTAATAAGAGAAGCTTTTTAGTTTGGCATGGTAGCTCATCCAACCCCAGCACTTGGGAGGCCTCCCAAAGGATCACTGAATTTGAGGCCAGCCTGGACCACTTAGTGAGTTCAAGGACAGCCGGGACCACGTGCTAAGATCTTGTCTCAAAGCACCAAAACCAAAAACCTAATAAAACCTTATAAACCTTAGAACAATCACTAAAAATCTGAAATAAACAGAGGGCTGGAGTGCAGCTCGGTGGTCGAGTGTCTGGCATGTGGGAGGCTGGGCGAAGGCCGTGGTCACACACCACAAGTATATGCGAGGGTTCTGTGTTTGTTCACACCCGCACATCTGCAGGCTTCCGTGCCATGCAGCAGGCCCTTGGGTTGATCCCTTGCAGAAGCTGAGAAGCAGTTACTGTTAGGAAAGTGTCTAGATACGTGGGCCCTTTGCTTCCTCAGCCAGTTGTCCGTGTGCATCTAACCTGAGGCTGAGTAAGCGTTCGGCATTAGGTGGTCATTGGCACAGTTCCATTGCGGTGGGACACAGGCAAGGCCAGGGTAGGTGACAGTGGTGCAGGGACAACGCTGTGGGAAGGCCCAGTTAATAAGCTAAGGGATAATGGAAGTTTTGTTTTTATGTATGCTAACCATGTATGCTTTGCAGGGAGGGGACTAGGGATTAAACCCAGGGCCTTGGCACTGAGCTACATGCCCACCCCTTTTTTTTATTTTTTGTTTTGAGATAAGGTCTTGCTAAATTGCCCGAGTGGAGCTCAAAGTTAGCATCTTCCTGCCCCAGCCTGCAAGCTGTCATGCCTAATTGTGTTGTTTTATATGCACCCAAGACAGTTCCTACTCACTGAGTGTGGTCCAGGCAAGTCCAAAGGTTGGGCACTCACATTCTCATCCTACTCCGACTGTATGTGAAGTGGAGATTAAGCAGGTCATGGGAAGGAAGAAGTTCAGCAATCAGCTATGGTATATTTTTTATGTGGGTATTGGGAATCGAACTTAGGACCTCGAGCTTGCTAGGTTGGCACTGTGCTACTGAGCTGTACCCCCAGCCCATTACAGTACATTTTAAGTTTTTGCTTTGAGGATAGTTGGGAAGTAGGGATGAGTTGTGGTTTGGGGTGTTTTGCATGATACCATCTCTGAAGACAGTGGCCGTGTGGTCACTGAGGCCCTGGGATCTCTGGGCTGCTCCCTGAGCCAGGATATTTTCTGACACTTAGAACTGTGTCACTGCAGGGGCCGGGAGATGGCTCAGTGGAATAAGCGCTTCCCTGGCAAGCGCAAGGGCCTGAGTTCAATTCCCAGTTCCGCCAAAAAAAAAAAAAAAAAAAAGAACTGTGTCCTGCAAGGGCCAGCCCTGGCGCACGCAGAATCCCCGTTGTACTTCTCTCCACATTGCCTCTCTGCTGAAGCAGTGACCAGCAGTGCCCTGTTCCCCCAACCTGTTTTCCAGATAAACATCGAGGACCTTGAGGATGACACAGTGGTGAATGGGGACAGGTCTGACTGTACTCTCGCACGCATTGTGACCTCGGGAAACAAAGCAAGGGCCCCACGTGGAGGTCCAGAGACCAAGCGAGATGGGGATGTGGCCAAGGGCGTGTCCCCAGAGCAGGTATGGGGGCTGCTGGAGGTATAATTTTTTGTGTTAGTTTTTTTTCTTTTTTCTTTTTTTCTTTTTTGTTGTACCGGGGATTGAACTCAGGACCCTGCGCTTGCCAGCCAGGCACTTACTCTATTGAGCTATCTCCCCAGGCCTCATTATGTTGGGTTTTGTTAATTGCCTGGTTACCTAAAAGTTCCCTTAGGGGCTCTTGATGACACTGGTGTCTAAATCCGTAAGACAGTGGTGACCTTAGGGTGTCACAGTCAGGTACTGTCCCTGCCTACTGTGTTCCAAAAGCATCTGTGTCCTCAAGAACCCTGGGGCACAGGGACTTCCTGGGGGAGCCTTCATGGTGTCATGGTGGGACTTGGCCAGGGGCAGGTGTGGGGGCCCACGGGGCAGATACAGGAGTTGGTGGTAGGCAGCCCACACACAGTGAGGCCCTCAATCTTCAGGCAGCTGAAGCCTGGCAGGGAATGGCGCGCAGATGAGATGAAGGGCTTGAGCCTGGCGTGCTACCTTACCATTGGATGGAGCCTGAAGCCGCAGAAGTCCTGAAGGCCTCACTGGCAGCCCCCAGCTGAGTGTTGCATGTTCTGGCACCAGCGGGGGAGATGAGGACTGCTCACATAAGGACAGATGAGCTTGCTGCTTTTAAGATTTTGCTTTTCTGTTTTTGGTTGAATTGTTTTTTAGGGGAGGTTTATTTTTTGTTTTTGGTGCTGAGGATTTTGCTTTTCTTCACTGATGAAAATGTCTTCTTTTATTAGTCTAATGTAAGTGGCAAGCTCCGAAAGAAGAAAAAGAAGCAAAGAAACAAGAAAAGCAGCACAGCAGAGACCTTGGTATGTGATTGCCAACTTTCTGGCCGTGGTGCTCCAGGTGGTGCTGGGAGAAGCTCGCTCCGGGTGCTGCTGGACGCCATCCCATTAGGACTGTAACTAGCCACGAGTCAGGGAAAACCAAAGAGAAGACTTGGTACCATTGTTACCTCTGGTGTGCATCTTGTCCTTGACATACAGAGCCCTGCTCTTGGCTCCCCAGTCCCACAGGTCCAACAGTCCTAGGCCACAGTGAGCTAGGGTCCCTCTCTCCTGCCTCAGTGGGGGCAGTTGTGAGGAAGGTGCTCACAGACCATGTCCATCATCAGCGAGACCCTCGTTGTCCCCCTCTGGCTGTACTGGGAGGAGCTGTGCTGTTGCCTCTGCTCAGTGGGATCTGGGCCCAGCCTGTCTCCTGAGGAGGGCAGCGTCCTGGCCCTGGGCTGGCCTGGCCTCTTAGGTCCTCTCAGGAGACAGGGCTCCTCTGCAAACCCAGTTGCTGCTCACAGCACTACAGTCTTCCAAAGACTATCAGTCTTCTAGGAAGGAAATTCGATACAGTGGTTCCTTTCCAAAGGTAGTCATTCTGTTACCGGAAATCAAATCACCATGATGGGGCTGGGGAGATAGCTCAGTAGAGTAAGTGCCTGCCTGGCAAGCACAGGGTTCTGAGTTCAATCCCCAGTACCAAAAAAAACCCAAAAAACACACCATGGTGATGAACAGGTGGTTCTGGGCTTGCAGGAGAATGGGTTGGAAGACATTGACCGAATCCTGGAGAGGATTGAGGATGGCAGTGGACTCAGCCACCCTGGCCCACCTCCACCCAGCTGCAGGAAGCACGTCTTGCATGTGGAGCACAGGTAGGACCCTGCCTACCCTGGGGAGGATGAAAGATTTCTGTCTTTATTTAGATCCTGGAACTTAGGAAGCTGAGGCAGGAGGATCACAACAAGTTTGAGGACACCCTAAACTGCATGGTAAAGCCCTATTTCAAAAAGAAAAAAAAGTCTTTAAAGAGTTCATTATCCAACATTTAGAAAGCAGAAATGAAAAAAATAAAACTCACCTATTTCAGAGGACTTTTAGCTTTACTCTATATATCTTGGGAAGTCTCTTCCTCTCTCTGTATTTGTGGCACAGGGTTTGAATCCAGAGAGAGCTAAGTCCCTAGTCCCCCCAACCCCCACCCTTTTTGGTACCAAGAATTAAACTCAGGACCTCGAGCTTGCCAGGCAGGTGCTGTGCCTCTGAGTTGTATTCCCCGCCCCCACACAACCCCACGGATCCTTTTATGAAACAGGGTCTGGCTGTGTAGTCCAGGTTGATCTCAAACTTATGGTGATCCTCCTGCCTTAATGCTTGGATTACAGGCATGTGTCACCATGTCCAGCCTGTTTACTTTTATTTTAGAGCCAGTTGTGCTAAATTACCCAGGCTGACCTTGAACTTGTAATATTCCTGCCTCAGCTTCCCAAGTCACTGGGACAATAAGCATACAGCACTGTGTTTGTTTTGGAAATTTCCTTTTTTTTTTGAAATTTTCTTGAGCTGTATAAACATACCATGTCACCCTTAGATAATTACAGATTTCTTTGTTGGGTAGATGATTAATGAAACCTGGTCTCTATGTCAAATATTGTTGCCTGCTTTAGCAAAAAGAAAAAGCCGCCTGGGTCTGTTGAAATTCTTGTCTAGTCTCAGGGAGTTCACACTCTGATTCAGCCTCACAAATAGAGGGTTTGGGCTGGGTGTGGTGGCACACATCTGTGATCCCAGTACCCCGGTGGCTGAGCCAGGAGAATTGCTGCAAGTTCAAGGCCAGTCTGGGCCAGCCTGAATTACAAAGTAAGATCCTGTCTCAGAAAAATAAAAACAAACCTAAACAAAAAGCCCAACATGGCTTGATACAGGAGGGCGGGGACCCGTCCCAGGCTGCTCTCCGAGGCAGGGGCCAGCTGTGTCCTTTCAGGGCATTGAGGGCGGGGCTGTAGGTGGGGTAGTGACTTTGAAGCTGGCTGGCCTGGAACTGGTCTTTCATGCCAAAGCCAAGCTTTTTCTACTGTATTCTTATGTAGCTCTCTAAAATTTCCAGTCATCGTAGAACCCAGTTTAATTTTTCTTTGAAAATTTTCTGTCCTCTAGACACTTGAATCCAGACACAGAATTGAAGAGGTATTTTGGTGCTCGAGCAGTCCTAGGGGAACAGAGGTAAGGTCACGCCGTGCTGTGTTCTCAGTGCTTCACGCACGTGCAGACTGAAGGCCGTTGGCAGCTCCTGGAGCTGAAGCCCTAGACCATAGCGGATGATGAAAGGCTTCGGGTTAGGTCTGCATGCTCCAAGGGCATGGTGTGCGGGTCCCTGAGAGGCCTGGGGTGCTCTGCTCCTCACACGGCCTTCTCCAGTCTGGTGTCATGATTTGAGAAAGGTCTTTCTGGGTGTGGTTGTACATAGCTGTACCCCCAGCACTCGGGAGGCTGAGACAGGGCGATTGCCATACATTTGAGGCCAGCCTGGGCTACCTCGTGCAACCACGTCCTAATGAAGGGATGAAAAGATCTTAAAGACTATTAAATTTTGAGTTTCTAGTATTAAGATCTGTGCATGTCTGCTTCCTATGCAGCGGCAAATCTAATACCAGGTTGAAGTTCTGGGCCACTTCCATGCTCCAGTGCATGGCAGCTGGCCGCAGTGACGCGCTGCTGCAGTGAGGACGCAGGAGCCCTAGGGAGGAAGGAGAGTCTGGTCCCAGCCTTTCTGGGAGGTACAGGCGGGCTGAGCCCTGCCTCCGTCACAATGTCCAGGAGGCTCTGTCTTCTCAGCTACACTTTTTTCTGACTGTAGAACTAAATGCTTCTTATTTAGGGCCGGGGAGATGGCTCAGTAGAATAAGTGCTTGCCTGGCAAGTGCAAGGGCCTGAGTCCAATCCCTGGTTCCGCCAAAAAAAAGAAAAGAAAAAAAAAAAAAAGATTCCTGTTTAAATGCTTCTTATTTAAAAGCTCAAATAATTTAGAACTTCCTTCTTTGGTCCCATTCCACCTCCCCAACAATAACCTAAAAAGCTCACTGTGCCAGTGATGTGGTCACAGATGCCTGTAATCCTAGTCATTGGGTAGGCTGAGGCAGGAGGATTGCAGCTTTGAGCCCAGTCGACACCATGTAGCCATACCCTACTTCAAAAATTGAAGCCATGGAGATAGCTAGTAGCATACAGGCCTGCTTTGCAAATGCAGGGCCCCAAGTTTGATACCCAGTACCAAAAAAAATAAATAAAAAAGCATGAAAGGGCTCAGTGCAAATACCCTGCCTGCAAAGCATGCAATGCCTATGCTCAGTCCCCATCACCGCAGAGAAGCCGCCTGCTGCAGGGTCCAAGTCTTCCACACCTGCCTGCACCTCATTCACATGGCCACCAGAGGCTCCGTTGCTTGCCACGCACCCTGCTTTTGTGCATCTTAGTCCAACATTTGGCCCAGACGTCAGCCTGTGTCCAGTGCCAGCTGGAGCCCCTGTGTCTTTGGCCCACATTCCTGAAATCACCAGGAGTCTCCTGAGAGAAGGAGGCAGCCAGGCCTGGGTCCCCGGGAACTATAGATATAGCCATGCCTGTGTCTTGTCCTCCCTAGGCCACGGCAGAGACAGCGTGTGTACCCCAAGTGTACGTGGCTGACAACACCTAAGAGTACCTGGCCCCGGTACAGCAAACCAGGTGAGGTCCGCAGGTGCCTGGGCCTCTTGGGCTCGTTTCGCCTCTCTGCAAAGCTGGTGTCTAATGTGTGACTTTTTTTGAGGGCTTGAGCACACTGATGCCTGAAGAACAGGACCTGGGGTCTCAGCACAGAGCCCCAGGCCCCATTGGTGTGTCCCCTGCTGTTTGAGTGGAGGTTTTTCTCCCCCCTTCTACCATCCCCCTCTGTGGTAGTATACCTCAGCAGCACTGAGGATCGTTTAAAGCGTGGTCACTTGGTTTTATTGCAGCAGGGTAGGATGGCCTGGGTAACATGATAATGCCTGTTGCAGGACAGCATGGGGTGGAGAAACAAGTGCAAACCCTCTGTGTGCTCGGATGAGAGACCCAGGCCTCCACAGCCAGGCAGGCACCCACGGGGAGAGGTGGGAGGGCGCACAGAGGTGACTGGAGAGGCCACGGCCCATGCTCCATCTCTCCTGCTGCCATACCTGTGGGGTTCTAGCAGAGCCCACGGTGTTCATTCCCCCTCATGCTAGAACCACAGTCTATGCTTTTACTGTACCTGTGCTGGTACATTACCTCATGGGCATCTTTGTTCCCACCAGGCCCTGTGTCGTAGTAGAACCACCTGTGCACTGTGCAGGTGGGCTTGTGGCCACATGTGCTGTCGGCTTTGCTGTCACTGCAGCACAATACCTGATACCCACAAATTGAAGGAGAGTTGTTTTGGATCACAGTTGCAGAGGGTTCAGTGCACAACTGGCTGGTGCCAGCGCAGGAACACTGTGGTGGAGGGATGTGATGGGAGGGAAGTGTTCATCTCATGGTGGCTAGAAATGGAGGATAGGGAGGAGCCAGAGGAGAGAATGAAAAGGGAGGAGGAGCAGACACAGCCAGACTGACTGACAGGCAGGGAGAGGGACCCTCCTAAGGCAGCCACCCACCTGCTCAGCCAGGTCCCCTCCAGCTAGCATGGTCAGCTATGGACATAATGGGTATCAACCCTCTAGAGAGCAAAGTGGCCCCTGTTCTAGTCACCTTCCCAAAACCCCGCTTCGGAACATGAGACCTTAGGACATTGTGAGCCTAAACCATAGCACCACGTGTTCCTGCAGGACCTGAGCCCCTAATAGGGTTGACAGAAGGGCTAAGGAGGGGCTCGAGAACCACTGATGTACTTCATGCTGTTCTGGGAGACAGCTTTCCAAGTTTATCAGAGGAAACTGGGACATGTATACACAAAGTCAGACGAAGATCAGAGAGAAAGACTCATGGGTCCTAAGTCCATCGCCTTGGAGGTGAGGCCTGGTGCTGTGCCTGCCACACCACTCCTGCCCCGACCCTCACGGCAGCCCTGCATGTATATCCCAGCCAACATGAGCTGAGCACAGTATTTCCACATCTAGGGATTGGGATCAGGGGGTCAGGGTCAAGGGAAGCCACAGGAGACGGGGTGTGGGCCCCTCGTGTCCAGTGGTGGGAATTAGGCCCAGCTTTCCTGGGAGCGTGGCTAGCAGATGTCAGCAGGTAGCCTAGAGACAGCCAGGCCAGCCCTGGGTCACTTGTGTCAGGGCCACAGTCCTTGCCAAGGACAGGAGTGTGTGTGACCAGAGCACTTTGCCCTGCAGCGGTGCTGCCACGTGGTCCCCAGCTTGCCCTCTCTGGGCACTCTCACCTCCAGGTCTGTCAATGCGACTGCTGGAATCGAAAAAAGGTCTCTCCTTCTTCACTTTTGAGCACAGCGAGGATTACCAGCAGGCACAGCACAAGTTCCTGGCAGCCGTGGAGTCTATGGAGCCCAACAACATTGTGGTTCGTGATCCCTACACTTGGGCAGGGGTGGGCTGAGCAGCCACCCTGTGCCAGACCCTGGCCTGCACCTGCTGGGGTATCTGACGGGGGGAGGGAGGGCGCTCCCCAGCAGAGGGCTGCCTGCATGCAGGGCCGCCGGACCCTGGCACTGGAGTGAGCCCCATGGAGTCCGACAGATGGAGCTCTCGTGGCCTCTCAGGAGCTGTGTGCAGTGGCTGTTGTCTGTGCCTCTGGTTAGCTGGCACGTCAGAGGCAGCGTCAGATTTTCTTCCCGGGGGCAGCCTGGCTTCTGTGTCATCAAGGCCTGTGTCCTGTTCCCCAGTGTCCCAAGAGACCTGCTGGCCCCATTCTCTGAGAACCAAAAGGGGATCCTCTTCTGTGCCCCCAAGACTGCTCTGACCCCAGTCACCTTGCTGTCATGTTCTACTACTGAGGTGCTACTGGGGTTAAACCCAAGGCCTTTGCCACATCCCCATGTCCTTATTTATTTGTATTTTGAGACAGGGTCCTGCTGAGTCTTTAACTTACCCAGGCTAGAGTTGATCCTCTTGCCTCAGCGTCCTGTGTGCTGAGACATCAGGCTTGCCCCTCCACACCCGGCTCCGTCCCTCCTCCTCGAGGTGGAGAGAGCTACGAGCTGCAGCCTGGGAAGACAGGATTCTGAGCTCCCACCCTGAACAGACCAGTAGGCTGGCTGAGCGTCAGTGGTACAGAGTCGAAGGGGCCACGGGACCGTCATGCTCAGGGCCATGCGCCCTGTGGGCTGCCCCACGTGGGGCCTGCTCGGGCCTCCTCAGGGCTGCCCTCCTGTCCGGCAGGTTCTGCTTCAGACAAGTCCCTACCATGTAGACTCACTCCTGCAGCTCAGCGACGCCTGCCGCTTTCAGGATGACCAGGAGATGGCACGAGACCTGACAGGTGAGACAGCCCTCGTAGGGGTGCAGCTCCTGGGTGGAGATGCGCCTTGAGGCGCTGGGATTGCTGCACCGTGCGGCGGCGCAGCCATCTAACATGTGACTGTTGGTTCTCAGTTGCCAAAGCTGTGCAGCCATGAGCACAGTCCCTCTTAGAGCATGCTCATCTCCCGTGAAAGAAGCCTGACCCAGGGCATGCCCTGCGCTACCCCCGGCCGCTAATCTGTCCTCTGTCTGTGCTGTCTATTGTGAAATTTCCTGTCAGGGTAATCGCGTAGTACACATTCCTCTTTGTGGCTGGCTTCTTCCATGTACGGTGTTTTCATGATCTGCCTTGTGTGTATCAGCCTTCACCCCTGTTCGTGGGCGAGTAATGTCCCACCTGTGGATCAGCCCCATTCTTGTGTGTCCACCGTGAGACACTTGAGGTGTATTTGGCTGTTGTAAGTAGAGCTGCTGTGAATGTGTGGGTCAGGTGTTGTGTGTGACACGTGTGGACCTGTGGTCCCCAGGACATAGCATCGGTGGTTCAGCAGAATGTCTGCAGGGTTTGCGTCCATCTCAGGCCCACAGTCCTGTGGGGCTGCAGTGCAGTCGGTGACCTTGGGGTCCTGGCAGGTCCTGACTGCTGGCCTCCACTTCAGGGTCCTAGTTTTATGACTTCCTTCCTTCCAGAACTTGCCTGGTTTTGAGTCATCAGAGGAGGGGGTTGCAGTCACAGTGCGGTAGCCTGACACCCTCCTCTGTGTCTCGGTGGCCCGCAGAGAGAGCACTGTACAGCACGGAGTGTGCCTTCCATCCTTTGTTTAGCCTCACCAGTGGGACTTGCCGGCTGGATTACCGCAGACCTGAGAACAGGTGAGTGTGGCACCCTGGGTGACTTCTGGGGATGTCTTGTGACAGTAGTACTTACTTGCCTTTCTCCTGCAAGTGAAGTGACAGAGGTAGCCGCAGTTCACACACGTTCCCACTGCAGGGCCTGTGGGGAGCAGATGGTAGCGCATGGCGCTGGGGGACAGACCCCACCATGAGGTCCAAGACACTGCGGTGCCCTGGCCTTTGTAGAGCTGTAGTCCTGGAGGGCGGGTGGGTGCTGCACCATCCACACAGGCTGGACTCGGGGTTGCTCTGTCCAAGTTGGGATAAGCTGCCTTCAACCATGAGTCATGGTCTTTCCGTGCCAGTTTGGATGAAAAAGGCTGTTCCCAGTTAGCTTGGAGTGTTTCTGAGTGTTCTTTTTTTTTTGCTTGTATTTTAGGGAAGGGTCTACAGGGTGTTCAGGGTCTCACTACTAGATCGTACTTATAGTGATCCGCCTGTTTGCAGCCGCCAAAGAGCTGGGATTACAGGCGCACTACCACGTGCAGTCTTAATTGCCATCTCAGTGCGCCCCAGGGGCAGAGCTGGCATGGCAGGCCTTGGGGTTGAACCCCTGGCCCCTGCACCTGCTTGCAGGCGCTTTAATCCACTGAGCTATTGGGCGGGCCCTCCAAGTGTGCTCCGGGCTGCTCCTGACCCAGTAGATTTAGCCTGGCCTGAGTGGTCACACAGGCACCACGTCGCTCTTCCTGCATCGCTGCCCTGACTGCCCTGTGGCATCACCCCTGCTCACCCCCGCCCCCTTGGGGGCTGTTGTGCATTGATGTCTTTCCCCTTGCTGAGTAGCACTTGCTTCTCTGACCACCACTGGGATGTGTCTACCTAATGGCCATGGCCATTGTCCAGCTGTAGGGCTCAGCACCTTTGTGTGCTGGGCCTGGATTTTCTTCACTGGTTTCCGCTGTTGCTTTTGTCACTTTTAGTTAAATCCTTAGTTCTTTGAAATAGGTTCTTTTTTTTTTTTTTTAGCAGAACTGGGGATTGAACTCAGGCCCTTGCAAGCACTTATTCTACTTGTCAGGCAAGCACTTATTCTACTGAGCCATCTCCCCAGCCCCTGAAACAAGTTCTAAAAATAAGTCACTAGGATGACAAAAGTCATACAGCTTTATTCATCCAGCATAGTGCCGTTGACAACCATTAAAATCAGAGAATAAGCTAAGGTTATAATTGTCACAGATTGTAGCTCTCCTCCCCCAAATGAAAAGCAGTAGACAAAAAGCAAGAAGCTGTGATTCCAGATAATCTTGGTTTTCCATAGATGAGTGCATTTTTTTATTTTAATTTTTTTTTAAATGTATTTGGTGCAGGGTCTCACTACTAGATCAGACTCATAGTGATCCTCCTGTTTTCACCCTCCCCTGTGCTGGGATTATAGGCGTGTGTCACCACGCCCGGTCTCCCTGGCCGGCTCAGCGCACCTGGGCTGGCAGGGCATGTGGTGTTGGGTTGACCCACCACCGCCCATCCCCCACCCCTGCACTTGCCGAAGGAGATGCTTAGTCCACTCTGCTGTCTCACCAGCCCTTCGAGTGCACTTAGAGCTCTGAGTATCAAGGCGTGTGTGCCCCTTCTCTGCAGACATAGGGGTGATCACGCCTCTCACCGTCTGGTGGCATAGGCAAAGCCAACAGAACCCAGAGGGCAGCGACGCCAGGGCTCGTGGGTGACTGCACTACTGCTCTGCCTGACTGGCTCACGCAGGCTCTCTTGGACCTAGGAGCTTCTACCTGGCTCTCTACAAGCAGATGAGCTTCCTGGAGAAACGAGGCTGTCCGCGCACCGCGCTGGAGTACTGCAAGCTCATCCTCAGGTGAGCGTCTCCCTTCCTGTCCTTGGGCGGCAGCCGCAGGCCAGGCCTTGGCCGTGACACTGCCCTGTCCTCTTGTGCTTTGCCCACCGTGCTGAACCCTGAAGCCTGGAGCCAGATGAGGACCCCCTCTGCATGCTGCTGCTCATTGACCATCTGGCATTGCGGGCCCGGGACTACGAGTACTTGATCCAACTCTTCCAGGAGTGGGAGGTAGGTCTGAGCTGCGCTCGGTCCCTTGAGGGTACATTAGTCCCTTGCTTTTAGTGCTCTGTATCAGCAAAACGACCCAGGTACCTTTCCAGGTGCGGCAGCAGAGAAGGGTGTGCACCGTCTGGCCGGCCGATAGCCTTCCAGGGGCCCGTGTTGAGGAGCCGTTAGGTGTATTGGGTAGATACAGTGTCTACGATTGCTTTCACCCTTCTCTTTATGCAGCTGCTAGAAAGTGTAAATGACATTGGTGCCCCACGTAGTCCTAGCCTCCATGCTGACTGCCTTTCACGGGCCCTAGGAAGGGGCAGGAGAAGAGGGATAAGCCTTCCCTGCCTCTGTTTCTGGGTTTGAATTGTTTCACATCATACCCTTAATGTATAGTGGAGACCAGGTAAGTCATTTTTTTTAAATTATAAAATAGTTGGCAAAGTTGACTGAGGAGTCTCAGCTCTGGGCATCTGGTTTACAGAAATTCTGGAGCTTATGAAAACATAACTGCAGGAAAACCCAGGGAGTCCCTATCTTAGTTACTCTTCTCTCATTGCTGGGACAAATACCTGACGCTCAAATTGGGGAAGGAAAGGTTTATTTAGCTCACAGTCACTCGAGGTTTCAAGACACTGGAGAGGCTGGGGTGCTGCCATGTCCAGGATGATTCACTCCACACCTCTGAGAAAGCACAGGCTAATCAGCTTATCAGTTCACACCTCGGGCCCCGCCCCTCGGGCCCCACCCTGGCCCTCGGGCCCTGCCCCTCGGGCCCCACCCTGGCCCTCTGGCCCCGCCCCTCGGGCCCCACCCTGGCCCTCTGGCCCCGCCCCTCGGGCCCCACCCTGGCCCTCTGGCCATGCCCCTCAAGCCACTTGTTACTCTTCCAGCCCAGTCTGCCCCATAACTTACATGAGGCTTTGGGGGCAGCAACAAGACACAAACCATAACATTCCACCCCTGGACCTCCAAAGTCTCATGCACATCTCTTTGTCCAAAAGGCATTTTAGTCCATCTCTAAGAGTTGCCAAAGTCCCAACAGTTTCAGCATTGTTGAAAAGTCCAAGTCCGAAGGCTCCTCCCAGATCCAAGGCAGACTCTCAACTGTGAGCCCCTATACAAATGAGAAGTTAAATACATCCAACATTCAAAGGCACAGGATAAATACCACCATTCCAAAAGGTACACACAGAAAGATACAAACCACTGGGCCCAAAACAAGTGCCAAATCCAGCAGGGCAAACACTGAGTCCTATAGTTCTATGTGGAACATTGGAAGCAATCTGTGGCAAATTGTGAGCTCCATGTGGCTCCACCCCTGGGCACTCTTGGTAGTAGCTCCCGTGGCTTCTTTTACAGGCCAGCTTTGCTCCCTCTGTGCAGTTTTCCTTAGATGGTCCACGTTCCTGGCTTTTCCAAACTTCTGGGGTTTCCACGGAATGGGCTTCTCACTCACAGCTTCACACACTGCCCTCTCGGGCGCACTGCCTGGCCTCCCAGGCCTTCTTCTGAAATCGAGGTGGAAGCCTTCCTAACCTCAGAACCTGCATTCTGGATGCGCCTAGAACCAGCACCACATGGATGCTGCCCAGGGCTGCTGCCAGCTGGAGCAGCAGCCGGGCTTTCCTCTCTCTTGGCTGTAGGGGTCGAGTGCCTGGATGGCTGAACACTCTGACCCTGATTCCAAGAAACAAATTCTCTATACTGGTGCCTTTCTGAAACCTGGTGTGGCCGCTGCCACCATTCTGGAGCATGGGTGTGGCTGCTGCCTCCAGTCTGGAACATGGGGCTCTGCAGATTTGTCCTCAAAGCAGAGGAGAACCCCTTACATTTGGAGTTCTCAGGCTGCAAAGGATGGAGACCTGCCGCCTCCTGTGATGCCCTCGGGCTGTCCTTTCCATTCTCTTCCTCCTGAGCAATGGAGATCTCTGCTCTCTTTGCAGTCCACAGCCTTCCTGGTGCTTCCTTTCTGGCCAGAATCACATTTTAGATCATTCTACTGGGCTCTTTGCTTTTCATTCTCAACATAAATCTAAGAGTCCCCACTGCCTCAATATTTGACTGCTTTGAGATTTCCTTTGAAAGAATAATCAGTCCTCCATGTTTAATCTTAGTCTCAGGCAGAGTCTCTGGACATGGGCAAAATTCAGACCAACTTTTTTTTTTTTTTTAATTTTTTTTTTAATTTTAACATTTTGTGTGTGTGTGTGTGTGTGTGTGTGTGTGTGTGTGTGTGTG